TGCTCCCCTCAGCAGTATATTTCATTAGATCTGCCTGTTCTGCTTCCCACTCTGTCTCTGGTGAATCCTCTCACTCCCTACACCTCTGGCCTGCACCACAGTTCTTATATGCATAAATATATAAAAATAAATCTTTAAAAAATATTTATACTAGATAAAATGACATGCTAGCTACCAACCATTCTACCCCCACACACACACCGCCACACACACACACACACACACACACACACACACACACACACACAGACTACAGGCACTCTCCAATTTAGTCTAGGAAGAAACCCATTATCTACTTAGTGGGTAAAGGAGAGAATTATTCTGGTAGGTTACATCTTTCATTGCTATGATCGGAAACACTGCCATCTCAGAAGTGAATGTCCCATTAGGGTTCAAATCAACCAAGGGAAACAAGAGGGGAAAAAGAACATGGATAAAAGCTGCTTTGGTCATCGAGAGCAGGTTTTACTGATGGTGCATATATATTTACTTAAGTACTTATTCCACCATTTAATTTCCTTTTTATTGGGGATCATTTTCTAAAAACTCAAATTATTCCTGTGTAGGAAGTTGCCACATGCATAATTTGAAACCATGCTATAAAAGAGAACCAAGTGTAAGCTTGTCCATAGAAACTCACTAAGGCTAATATGATAATATGACAGCTACTGGGGACATCTAATACAAAGAAGTGGCAATATGAGGGAAAATGGGTGAGGAAGCGGCCTCGAAACCTCTCAGCAGTTTTGCCTGCACAAGTTAATATTCAAACATGAGAAGCATAAAAAAATCATATGGCAGTCTTTTATTCCACAGCATTTAAGGGGTTTTTTTTTTATGTAAGATACCATGGATACAAAACTGAGTAAGACAAATCTCTAAGTCTGGAGAAGATGTATGAGTCAACCAAACCATCCAAAACTATGATATACAGCTTGAATAGAGGTATGGCAAAGCCTGATCTTGTCAGCCCCAGGGACCCCAAGGAGAAAGCAATAGAAGTAAGAGAGGTCACTGATGGCACTGTTGGGCTGCCATGTACCATTCTGTGAATGCTTCCATTTCCCCAACACCTGACTTGTCCTCCTGGGTCCCTACAACAAAAGAACTAAACCACAAAATAACTCCCTTTTCATTGATTGAGACATAGCTTCGTTATCTTCTCTCAGTCACCCAATAAGTAATTATTGAGCATCTATTATGTGCCATGTGCTGGTATAGGCACCAGGATTTGTAAAACTCAGGTTTGGTAAATGTCATATTCATGAAGGGTTTATCATGCATATTTCAAATATTATTTCCAAGTGAGGGTATCGATACAGTCATAGAAAAAACTTCAAGGCATAGTATGAGTTTTATAATTCTGTTTTGGCAATTTTTTGGAATCTTTCAAAAATACATACTCCCATGCCACATATCATCCATGGGTGTGATCCAGCCTCTCCCCATCTCTGGGGATCCTGCTGGGCATTAGAAAAGACAGCGGCAAACAAGCCAGTTGTTGTCCTTGCACCCATAGGACTTAGTGTTTAGTGGGGTGACAGATGTCAGATAAGGATGCACACCAAACTAATGACAGCAGTTACCACAGGGCAGAGGAGTGAGTGACATGATGTGAGGCTGAGCTGATAAGCAAAGCTTCCACTTTATCCAAATATTTGAATTTGAAAATATGGACCTATCCATGTTTTCTGCATAGTCAGTATAAATTTCCACATCAGGTACATCAATAACATCCGAGAGGCGGATTAGAGGACTATTACAAGCTGACCTCAATGAGGGAGGCACTGGGGAATTAGTGAAAATTTTCAGAATTTCAGGTTGGTTTGGGGCTAAAATAGCTGCATTCAACTTTATGGTCACTTATGTCTTCATGCCCCGTGGAAAGTACTGCCAGGCATGGACACAAGCCTCCCAGTCTTCGAGCTGTCTGCTAGGGCCAATCACTTTCTGACCCACAAATGGAGTGATTTACTTTCATGGACTGAGTAACACAGATAATCAACATGTTGTTATCACACCGGTACAAAACTTGCCCCTTCATGGAGAGCAATAAATCTTATCAGAAGATGCCAAAAAACCCTGGACTGAGTCACACTTACCTTGTCTAGACTGAACTGTCTCATCTCCATTTTGTCAAACAAATTGTATCTTGCCTTTTACTATTAATATTTTAATACATATGAATTTCACCTAGTTCCATTGATAACAGAGAGTCCCTTGCTAATCAGTTTTCCTCCTGAGGAAAGTCTGATTACATAGAAATGACCTCAAGATATGCTAAGGAAATAAGAACAAATATCATGAAAACAAAGTTGGCCATATCAATTCATAACCTGTTAATGACAAATTGGGCAGTTGTGTAAAATTTGGGGATAAAAATATGTCCTTAGATTATCATTCATACTGATTCCCTGATTATATTTTGGGATACTCTGATGACATGGCATTTACAGAGCAGAAGCATGACAAATGATTGATCACCCAATAATGCTCCTGATCACAAAATTATATATCAAGATAAATATATATATAAGAAAAAGTGCTCTCTCTCTCTCTCTCTCTCTCTCTCTCTATATATATATATATATATATATATATATATATATAGGTATATAGAGAGAGCACTTTTTCTTTAGGTGCCATCTTGGAGTATGTACACTTGTTAGGAATATGTACTCATATAAAGGTTACCTCTGTGTGGATAGCCAGCAGAGGAAAGTTTCCTGCAATGGGCAATAGGAGCTTACACAGTGGATAGGGTTGCAGATATAATATGGAATGCCCCATTGAATTCAAACTGGAGTTAACAATGAATAATTTTTAGTGTGTGTACACTCCAAATACTGCATGGGTGTTCTGCATTTTTATTTGCTAAATCAGGCAATCCACTAGTGGAGAAGGGGAAGACATGCAAATCAATCATCTTTCCTTCTTTGTCATGAATACTGTTGAGGTCAGCATCTGTTAACATTTATAGAACATGGGAAATGAGGTCCATGCTATAGACTTACTCATTACTCCTACTCTCTAACACTGGAAACATGCCTACTTCTTTTACCATGGACTCTAGCAATCATGTACTGTAACTTATTCCTCCCCTTCTCAAGACCTGCCCGGTGACTGGCACGGGAGAGATGCTAAAAATAGTTTTGATTAAATGAGGATATGATATGGAAAGACTACAAAGGAATGAAATTTGGGATGAGAGGAATAAAACAATAAAATTGTACATGGCAGAGCACAGAGTAATTTTCCTTTACGCCTGGTTTTGCTGTCTGTAGTCTATTACCCACCAACCACGGTTTAAAATATACAATATTTTGAGAGACCACATTCACATAATATACTCATATATTAGAGTATAATGTTAGGTTCTGAGTTTTGTGGTGGTACTTTCTGACAGCTAAGTTTTCAAAGACATCATTATTATTTCTTGGGGATAAACTTCCAGAGGGAGAGTTGCTGAGTCAAGGACTGTGTGCTTTCTGGAAGACCCTTGAAACATATCACTTATTTTGCTCTCTAGGAAGGTTTTGTCTATTTATAATCCTATACAAAAGGGCATGTTTTTCCGAACTATTATTCTAAGTTAGTCACCCCATGAAATCTCTCTGTGAAATAATAATCTATATAAAGTATAAAGAGTAATATATATAGCAAGTTTTAAACCACTCCAAAAAGTCAAAATTTTAAGGAATCTCACTAGTTCACAATTTGGCATTGGCACAGTCAACTGATATAGACTGGAAAATTATAAGTCAAATTTCCAATCAAGATCTGCCATATCTGTAGAAATGTGGTTGCTTAACATTCTAAAGTGATTTTATGGAAAATGAATGTATTTCTTTCTTAAGATGATAAAATAAGTTAGATTGTTTAATGATAGCTTCCCAAAGACAGAAATCCATTTGCTTTGACCATAATCTGAAGAAAATTATTTCATCAAAGTGAGAAGTATAAATAGTAGGTAGCCATCATTACACCACAGTAATACTGGTCCCAATATGAATTAGTTTGGCTACCCAAAAACCTCCTCAGTGAAAAACCAAAAAGAATAAACAAAAACCTTCATGCATCTAGAACCTCCAGCAAGAAGGAAAAATACCTAAGTAAAAATTTTAAAATAGTATCTAAACTACCATAACTAAAAAGGAAATGTGTGATAAAAAGAAAATGTGTGATACTACAAGAGAGAGCCAAATGAAGCAAAAAATATCTCCCAATATGCAACCCCCTCGATGGCTTATAATAAAGTATTAGAGGCAAATGAAATACTAGGTGATGATGGAAATGCTGGTTAGGGTTTAATTAAAGGAAAGTTTCTCAAGTGGCAATAAAAAAAAAATGCTGGCTTAGCCTTGTATTTGATCAATACCATGCTAAATCGATCAACTCTACTTTTCATCAATTTTGAGATCCAGAAAAAATCAAATAAAAAGTAACAATATCCAAGTATAAATGCTTAATTTAACAACATGATAGAAATCTAAATTATGGTCTGGTGGGCCTTGTAAATAATGACAGTCATTTGGTTAATGTCTTTGATTAACTCAGAGAAAGAAGTTCTTTGGCTCTAGAAACAATTACAAAAAATACACTTTTGAGGGATGCCTCTCATCTCAATTATGTAATAGAACCGGGTGAGTATAGACACTCACAACTTTTAGTTCACCATGAAAAACCCTGCACCAGTTTTGTTATGATGACTCTGCAGTCTTGGAATGGATCAACCAGACATCTAGGGTAATGCAGTAGTAATGCTTTGCTCACTTTAAAAAAAAAAAAATCTAGTACTTCCAAAGACAACGTAGTCACCCAAAGTATAAAAAAAAAAGCCTCACCCACAAAGGGAAAGGACTAAAACCCCAGAACTACAAAGCGGGAAACTCCTCCCCACTGAAGATATTCAGGTATATAAAAGGCACACGAAGGAATACTTCAGAACTAAGACATTATTGTCAACCTTGACTCCTGTGAGCTTTTAGCTTGTGGAAAAAATGAGGGTCAAGCTTGATATGATTAGAAATTGTTTGTGGCCTCTGTGCCTTATGGGTCTATTCATCACTGGCACCCTCGCTCTGAACTGTAACTTTCTGAATGTCCACCTTAGGAGAGTCACTAGGAAAAACATGAGCCTGCTAAGAAATATGAGTAATTCATTTTCTGAAGAATGTCTACAAGAAAGGACAGCTTTTGCATTGCCCCAAGAGATCCTCTTACACACACAGTCTATGAAAAGGGACATCAAGGAAGCCTTCTATGAAATCTCCACACAGGCCTTCAACATCTTCAGGCAATACATTGTCAAGTCCTCCTGGGAAGATCAATACCTAAAACAAATCCAAACTGGACTTGATCGGCAATTGAAGTACCTGAAACAATGCTTGGATGAGGAGGAGAAGATTAATGAAGACATGAAAGTGACGGAAGATGATGAGATGAAAGAATCAGGAGCTAGGTTTCCCCAGCTAAGCAACCTAGAACTGAAGAAATATTTCAGCAGGATAGACAAGTTCCTGAAAGAGAAGAAGTATAGTCATTGTGCCTGGGAGATAGTTCTTATTGAAATCAGAAGATGTTTCTACTACTATCAAAAATCCACAGCACTCCACAGGAGGATATAAGGTATATTTTTAGGGCCAAATCCCATTACTCTCCAAGATTTCCTCCTCCTTCTTCATTTTTTTAAAGAATTATTGTGCTATCCTATAACCTTACCCTTGGTTGGATTGGTGGTAGTTTACTGTCTTTAACATTAGGCCTTATTAACAGTGACATTCTCTTCTCTATAAGAGAGAAGACCATCCATCCCTTGGGTGACCATGAGTCCAGGCAGAAAGTCTTGAGACTGTTTTAAAATAAGATTCCATTTCTATCTTTTAGTTTGTCTTCCTCTTTCCTTTTGCTGTTTTGGACTTGTTTTGCTCTTCTACCTCTGAATTTCTCTAAGTCAATGCTTAGAGAATATGGATCAGAGAGTGTTGCAGAATGTAATGCTTCACTGACTTAACCTTCTTGCTGCCAAGGTTGTTTAGTCTATGAAAGTTCAGCAAGTTCAAAGTGTCTATACAATCTTCCATAGAAACTTTCCCTTTCTCCCCTGCCTTCAAAACAAGAGTGTGGGGGTGGGGGAAGACGAGGGGGGAGGGAGTGTTGAAATACCTGTTAGCTTCTCAGTTTGATTTATTTGAAACAACGTAAAGTTTGTATGGTAATGTTTTATTATTTCAAGAGAGTGAAGATCCACAATGATATTGTATGATTGAATTCAATGACCATTAAATTCTTTTTCAGCCTTTGAGAGCCTGTAATTCCAATGCAGAAAGAACACTGTTCATTCCTAATGTGTATTTGATTTCTACATCTAAAGGCAGGGGAAATGAAAATACTACAGAAAAGCGTAGTATCGGTCTTTCATTGTTTTATAGGTGCCTGAAATGAAATGCCTACAGTCATAGTAAAGAAGAATTTCTGATTGAATTTTCCATTTTAGAAGATGAATTTCTGTCTGTTAAGTATCATCCTAATGATACATGTCATTTTAATATAGCTTACTTTTTAAAAGCTATTTGTAACCAGACTACCTAGACTATTCAATTTTTTTTGTCTGTAGTTCTTCATTTATATTAATTTATCATTAGCTGAAATGGATTTTCTCTTCCTCTCTTCTATTTCATTTCAGAATTATCTTCCTTCAAGCAAAAATTAACTGAGAGACTATGGCTACACAATGCAAAAAGTGGACAAAATGTACCTGGGTCAGCCTCTGGGAGACCTCTCCAGGATTGCTTTAGCACCATGCTACCAAACTGTTTAAATTCAAGAATCATCCAAGTGTAGAACTCAAAAAAATGCAGCCAAACAGAGAAGGAAGTCTTATGACAAAACTGACTGACAACTTTCCAAAAAATTAGAAGGAAAGAACAAGCTGTAAATTGTGGTATACTGGTTATTGGTGGGAGGATCAGGAGTTAATAAAAACCACTTAGTGAAAAGCATCTCACCAAAAGAGTTGTTCTAAATGGGGGTGGGGGGTAAGGAGGCACTACAATTTACAAAGGCATTGGGAGGCATGCAAGCGACTATGTAGAAAGTACACACTCAGTTTTCCATCAAATTTTCTCGTAAAACCCTTGCCTGACCTCATCAATAACTCTACCAGGGCAGTGTCAGTTATTTTAGTAATTTATTGTTGCAGTCCTGCCAAATGCTTGTTACGCAGGAGGGAAGAGGATTGGCACTTCCAGTCAATAAAATTTGTCTGATTGGACAGGAAGGGGCAGAAGTCAGAACAGGGTCCTTTTGTTAAGCGCAGCTCTAATCAGAAAAAGAGAAGAACATTCCTATTTTAAAATATGTAAGAACACAGATTGACATCACAAAGGAAAAAATGCTAACACACAATACAAAAAATGTTTACGCTCATTGGATACCTCCCTACCCTCAATATGGCAGAGATGAAAAAGAAAGATAATAGATAATAGAGTGTGAGTGTGGTGTAGGGCAGAGGGGAAAAAAATCACCCTGTATATTGTTAAGGGAAGGACAAACTGGCACAAGTTTCCTACAGGACAACAAGGCAATTTGACATAACCTAAAAAGTGCATCGACTCCTTTGACCTAGCTCTCCTATATTCAAAAATTTATTCCAAGGAAATATTTGGGTAAGATTTTATTCACTGAAACTTTGTTTCTAATAAGCCTTCTCTGCTCTCCTTTTCTCGAGCTTCACCTCTGTATTTTCCTTTTTTTTTCCTACAATGTTGTGGGGAGGGTTTAATTCTAAAATTAAAGGACCCATACAAAGCCAATCTACCACTATAATTATCCTGTTTTCCTTACTGGGGTAAACTGTAACAAGCACTGTCCTTTCACTTTATTAATGATGCCTTTGGGCTCTTCTTGAGCAACCTGGATCCTTCTTGTTGCTTCTCTCCTATTGCTAAATTTCAAAGGAATCCTTCCTTGAGGGCCGTTTTCATAATGAAATGTTTGTAAGTGCCTTCAAGTGCGTCAAAGATTTTGCTTTTTTCTTTTGTGGCTCCCACTAGTAACATCCAGCAGTTACTGGGGAAAGTGCTCTGTGTCCCTATTGGTGACTTAGCAGCGTGATTATTAAAAGGAAACTCAAAAATTCTGTTAAGTCATGTAAAAAGGGAAAAGTCCTAGAACTTATGGAGACAAGTTAGTTCACAGATTCCATTTAAAATGGCTGAGTGTGGGCCTCCCTGGTGGCGCAAGGGGTTAAGACACAACCTATGAAGCTATCCGCAGCCACTGAAAAACGAGTTCGATCCCCGGCCAGGGAGGTGACCCACATGGTGCAGCAGACCTCTCCTGACTCACCTGCTGCTCCCCTCAGCAGTGTAGTTCAGTCAGTCTGCCTGTTCTGTTGCCCACTCTGTCTCTGGTGAGTTCTGTCACCCCCCGCACCTCTGGCCTGTACCCCATTTCTTGTATGCATAAATAAATAAATCTTTTTAAAAAATGGCTCAGTGGGTAGCATGTCACAGGTGGTCAAATGGGAGCTCCTTCCTCCCCTGGGTTGGGGGAGGGTCAAAAGGTGAAGGACAACAAGTGTAATTGAGTTTCCTTGGATGAGGGACTGATGAGGAGCGCAACAGAAGAAGCTGGCAATCCAGGTATACGCAAGCTAATGAAGAAGTAAATCAAGATTTCAACAGGTGCATGGACTCGGCCTCCCCTCAGTAAAATGACTCTTGGGGAAGTTTTTGGGGACTAGGCCTTTTCAGAATGACTACTTTGCCTTTTCCCTGTCTCTAACATTCGGCCTTGCAACATTTGGCCTTTGCTCTGAGCAAAGGCAAACTGATAAATAATCCACACTCCCTAAAAATGAACACCCTGTGTGAGCAGAGGCAGGGACACAGGACCCCCTATAACCTAACAGGCGCACCACAGAGGAACAAGTCCGGAGTCACAGATTCGCAGGGACTTGGAAGCCTGAATACTGTTCTGGCGGCGGCTGCTTTTTTGTAAATGCGAAGTGGAAATCTGGGATTCAAACTTGGCCCCTTCTGTGAAGTCAGAACTCCACGTTTTCTCTGGAGCCAGCTACCTCTTATTACTTCCAGGCAAAGTCCAGGCTTCCTAGGACTTGGGTTTCTGCCTCCAGAAGTGCCCTGGTCGCGTCCCTCGGCCCTGGCAGCCGCCCAGCCACACGCCTTTAGCGGGAGATTGAAATGCACTGAAACCCACCAAAGGACACCCCGAATTACCGCGGAACCTCGCCCCCGCTCTGCAAAGCTGCGCCTCTCTCGGACCTGCGCCCTTTGCACCGCGACGGGGATAAGATCTGAGAAATGCGCCCAGGGCCACGGGCAGCAGGGGAGGCGGGGAAGGAAGCACTTTCCCTCCGCCCTCTAACCGCAAGGCCCTGGGGGGGCGGCCTCCCGGCCTCCGGCTCGAGTCCGGCCCCCGCCAGGAGCCGCGGCGGGAGTTGGCTGGGTGGCTGGCGGGGGGCGGGGAAGGATGAGAGGGGCTTCCTTCTCGCCCCAGCCCCGCCAGCAGTTGGAAAGGCAAACAATAGGAGAAATGCGGGGAAACAAAAGGCCATTCGCTGCGATCTCCAGCGGCCCCTGAAGGGTGGGTGCCCGGGAGGTGGCCAAGAAGATGGGCGCAGCGAGGCGGTTGAGGGGTTTGGGGGGGGGGTGTCTCTGGGATTTCCTCGCCGGCGCCCGGGGTCGTCCCTTTACTTTTCCAAGAGGGGTCTTTTAAGCCGGATAAAGCACTAAAGAAAAGCTGAAGGTTTTGCACCTTCTGCCCCAGCGCACGCAGCGGGAGGGGCTCGGGTTCCAGCTGTTTGACAGTTGCGGGCCCAAGGGTTTCTGCAGGATTTGTGCATTCTTTGCACACCCTCCTGTTTCCGTGAGGCAGCCACAGCCCCTGGGACGCCCTGGCCGGCCGGGCCGAGCGTGCTCCTCTAAGATCAAGACGCCCTCAGCCGTCCCTCTCCCAAGCACACTTCAGCAAAAGTTTGTCTTCCCGCCACCCCCGGCCCCACACGCACCCTGCAGCCATCTGCGCTTCGGGCTGGGCTCAGGGGCAGCCTCGTGCTTGCGCCAGGAAGCTGAATTTTATTGCTGGATCTTTGCAATCAAGGCCCCGAGCCCGGGGTGGGGACTGGACTCGCATCCCGGCCGGGAAGGGCGCGCGAGGCGCCGGCCAGAAGCCCGGACGCGGGGTCCGCCAGCTCCCTCCCGCCTGTTGCACCCGCCCCAGGTGCGCCCCGCACCTCTGCGCGCCCGGAGGCGAGCAGCTGCCGGGCTGCGTCACCTCCCTCTCGGGGTTCTCACTCACCTTGGGGTTTTACCTCCAGCCCCCGGGCCCTGAGGCTCCCAGCGTCGGGTCAGCTGCAGTTGGCGCGTGAGGATGGGGGCGCGCGCGGGGCAGGAGGGTGACGCCTGCGAGTCCACGCCCGGGGCTCCCTCCCAGTGCGTGCGGGCCGGGCGAGCTGGCGAGCGAGTGCAGGGCTCTGGCTGCTGCAGCCGCAGCTCCCAAGTAGCCCCCACGGCACCCAGCGCGCGGCTAGCGCGCGGGGCCGCCAAGGGGGGACCCCCTGGCGGCCGCCCGCGGAATGGCAGCTCCGTCAGGGAGAAAAGTTAGGTCGCTTTGAGGTTCATCTTCCTTCTGAGAAGAGTAGAGATTGGGCGCTCTCGCTACCAGACCCCGGAGGAGATGGGGTGGGAGGGAAAGTCTTGCAGAAAAGACAGCGACCCTCCGGTCAGGGTTGCCAGGAAGATACCGGGCCAGAAAGGATGCGTTCTGGGTTCACAAAGGCCTAGCCAAGGCACCTGGAGAGGGGGGAGCATTGCTTGCCTTCTGCAGGTTTTTCTGATTATTGGAAAAATGCCACCGACTACCTACCCAATGGGAGCGTTAAACATGGAAAGTAGTTTGAGATTTTGGTGAACTTACTGGAAGAAGCCAGAAGGAAAAGAATAAACATGGACTTTGAAGCCCAATCTACAGATTTGCACTTTCTTGGTGTTTGATCTTGATCTATGGCCTCTCAGTCTTAGTATTCCCCTCTCTGAATTGGGGAGAGCAATATCTAGCTTCCAGGGTGGTTGTTAAGGAGTCAGCTAAACATAGAAGTATTTTTAGTTCACAGTAGAAGTCATTAAATATAAGCTTTCTGAAGAGAAGTGTGTCTTCCTTATCTTTTTACCACATATAACATTTTAAAGTGTGCTGAGTACGAAGATGATTAAAATTGCATTTTATAGTTCTTACCGCACACTTTAAAGAGGTATGAAATATATTAAGCAGAAACTACATGAAGAAAATAGCCCTCCCCCAAAGTGGTGTACACAGCTATTAAAAATAGCCTCTAAAACCATACACATCTTTTGCGATATCAAGACACTTCTGATATTGCATGGAATATTTAATATATAATCATGGTCCAATTATATCAACTCTGGATTAAATGATTCTATTTAATTCTGTGTCACTTGGGCCATGCAAAGGTATTGATGATTGTGAATATAAAACTCACACATGGGGCCTCAGTCTCAGCGCTGTGAAACTATCAGCAGCCACTGCAGCCAGCCAGGGAGGTGACCCACATGGCACAGCAGACCTGTCTTGCCCACTGCCCCCCTCAGCAGCATATTTCAGTCAATCAACAGTTCTGTTCCATACTTTGTCTCTGGTGAATCCTCTCACCCCATGTACCTCTGGCTTGCACCCCGGCTCTTCTATGCATAAATAAATTAATCTTTGAAAAAAACAAAACTCACACTTAAGAAGAAAATCATGTCAGATACAAAAATCCAGTCATCAACATTCTTGAGTAATGCAATCTCATTTCCAAATGGCCTCAAATCCTGCCATTGCTTTTAAAGCTTCTTTTGTCCTTTTGGCCTCATGGCAATCAGAAAATACTTCATTATTGAGAACAGTTAGGATGGATGCATTTTTAATTATTCAAGTTTACCTTTAATAATGTTTCTCTCTTGTTCATTAGTCCCTAATTTGGAGGACAATGTTGCCTGTCCAAGAATTCTCCTTATATGACCTTTTCTGTCCTGTCAGAAAGAAAAAGTAAGATTTCTTGTCTCAGAAACTAAAGCAGAACATTGATGTCTACCTTCTGCCCTTGGAGATGGGGCTCACCCTCCAGGGCATAGCAAAGTGAACAGGGCATTCAATTCTTATCAATAGACATTAATGGAATTGTCTCTGCCTCTCTCCTTGGGTTTCAGCCTTGTCTATATAGAAAAGGGAACATTTACTCTACTTCCATACCCTTAATAGCTCCTTCCCTGGAGCAGAATGATATATCTGGTAATGGGGAAGGAGACTTTAGTATTTCCTGGATAACTATCGCCAGTGAGTGGGGTCAGTGTGGTGAATGTGCCCCAACTTTCATCTACTCCCTGATCCAGCTTCTCTGCCCATGATCGGGTAGCTGGAAGAAGCGATTTAACCTTCAGAATTTGCTATGATGGGCTGGCATTTTAGATTCAAGCCTACCTTGATCCTCTTGTGTCTTTGTTCAGACTATTACAATAAAATACCATACGCTGTGTGGCTCATAAACAACAGACATTTATTTCTCAAGTCCTAAAGGATAAAAGAAGTTCAGGATCAAAGCATGGAAGAGTCAGTGTTTGGTGAGGGCTCATTTCCTCATAGGCATCTTTTGCTACCATTTTACATGGCAATAAGGTTCAAGGACGCTTTCTCAGGCTTCTTGTATAAGCATACTAATCCCATCCATCAGCCCTCTTAACCTAATCACCTCACAAAAGACCGGCCGGCCCTCCCAACCCATACTATCACTTTGGGGGTTAAGATTCCTCACTGTAGGCATTATAAATAACATCTATTAAGCACCTAAAATATGCCTACTAAACATTTTATATGGAATATCTTATTTAATTTTCACAAGCTACCTATGTAATCGATACAGGTAGGGAAACTATAGACCAGAAAATTGAAGCACCTTGTATAAGATCATGTAGCTAATGTATCATGTAGGGAAGTTCAATAATTGACAGTGTGATACACCAGTAAGAATGGCACATATCAAAAAAACAAGCAACAACAAATGCTGGGGAGGGTGTGGTGAAAAAGGAACTCTCCTACATTGCTGGGGGGAGTGCAAACTGGTCCAACCACTATGGAAAGCTGTCTGGAGGTTCCTCAGTCTACTAAAAATGGAGCTACCATATGACCTGGCAATTCCACTCCTAGGATCTACCCAAAGGACACAAAGACATTGATCCAAAGACCACCTGTACCCCTATGTTTATTACAGCACTATTTACAATAAGCAAAACCTGGAAACAACCCAAATGCCCCAAAATAGATGACCGGATCTGGAAGATGTGGTATATATACACAATGGAATATTGTCCAGCAATCAAAGAAGATAAACTCATGCCATTCGCAGCAACATGGATGGAGCTAGAAGGAATTATGTTCAGTGAAATAAGCCAGAAGGAAAAAGAAAAATATCGCATTGTTTCACTTATAATAGGAATATAGGGGAACCAAATAAGACATCAGTGTAAAAAAATAGTAACAGCAAAAAACACAACAAAGCAAAAATAGACAATTATAAACCAGAGACATCCTGCTGGGGAGGAGGAGGGAGAGGGATCAGAGGGAGGCAGGGAGGGGCACAGGGGACTGAGGTGATGGTGCAAGGGTGCCTTGGTGAAGGAAATTCTATGGGGACTACACCTGAGGGGGTGGGGGGGAAGCAAACATTGTTTAAAAATGAACAATGATGTAAAAAATAAAAAAAATAATAATTAAAAAAATAATAATATTGACAGTGTGACAAGTCCAGAGCTGTGACTCCTTTACCAGTATTATATGACAAATGACAATCTTGGATCATGTCCTCAAGATGTTTACAATTCAATAAGAATGACATGAAGAGAAGCATCAGTAACAAGAATATGAAGAAGGCTATGGGCTAGAGTAATATATATAGAAGTCAATACATTACCATGTTACATAGAGATGGAAATGATTGGTTGATGATAATTAAATGGGAACTCAGGAAGGATGTGACCTTTGAACTAGACTTAAAGATGGTGGATATTGTTGGATTTAGTAGAATGATTGTTTCAAATAAAAAGTACCACAAAAGTAAATATACAGAAATATAGGGAAAAAATGCTAGATATGTTCTGGAAAACTAAGATTAATCTAGTTGGTATGGGGAGTGGTATGCAATTAGATGATAAGGTTAGGACATCATGCTAGACTACAGGTCAAAGGAAATTTAGTGAATTTTGTTAACAGTTATTAATAGAAAACAATTACTTGAAGGAGCTGTCAAAGTAATATCTGAAGGTGTAACTCAAAAGTCAACAAGTAGAAGAGAAAAATGAACCTCTTGTTGGGTAAAAGGCTTTCAAAGTCTGCTAATTCTGTTTGACACAATATGAAAGGACAATCGTGGACATGAAATTCTGGCTCCAGCACATAGCCTCATATAGCTTAAACTCAGAGGTTCTAAAAGAAAACAAAAATGAATAAAGAAGGCAAACCGATCTTTGGACAAGAATGATTTTCACCATTACAATTTCACGGATGGCATAACTGAGGCTAAAGGGATTAAGTGAGTTGCCCAAGATAACACAACTAGGGAGATTGAGACATTGATTCAGTGTTCTGTGTGCCCTGATAAGTGGGAAAGGCCATGGGGTATATTTGTCTAAGAGGAAGTTGTCAGCTTTTAGGTCACCAGATAATCCTCTTCTGTGGGTTCCTGGAGAATAAGTCTAAAGAATTTAGATGGGAGCATTCATGAATCTCCCTTCCAAGCTCTTCCAGGGAAAAGAGAGGAGCCAGGATCAGCTGAAAGAGGTATTCTAGTGAGACAAGGTGGTATGGTAATTAAGAGAATGGATATCAGAATCTGAAAGACTCATCATCTGTGTTTCTGAGTTGCAGCTACTTCGTCTTAAATGGAGATAATGATATAGGAAATTGGATGGATTCAATGAGGAGATGCTTGTGATTACTTAGCATAGTGCCTGTCCCAAGGCAAGTGTTAAAGAAATTCCACATCTTTCTCTAATCTCACTTAGCCCCTTCCCTGTGAGGGTAAGAGACCCTAGTGTTACATTCCACACTGAATCCAAAAGAATCAATGTCCCTTAGGATATCATCTCCTGGAATTGGGAACGAAAAGAGAATATTTCTGGGTAGTTAAGATAGAATGAATAACATTTTCATTCTTTGCCTAAGTCAATGCAAATTACTTTCCATCCATTTCAATTCCTACTTTATACATTTCTGTAAGAGGAAAGTCACACTGGTCTTCAATGGTGTATAAGAAAAATCCCAGAAAGGATCTGTTGCCAAACCACCTCATTATAGCTTCCTCTGAGAGGGGACCAAAAGAGCAAAGGGATATGGAAAGGGTGTCACCATAGCAACATCATAACAGTCAGACAGCAATAGAGTAAAAGTGGAAAAACATGTTTGCATAGTCA